GGAGCCGTGGCGGGCTGGGCCGTGTGGCGGCGCCGGGGGCCGCGCTTCTGTCGGGCAAGGGCTTCAGAGTTGAGCCGCATCTGGGCCTGGCCCCCTGTCCTCCCGGGACCCCAGCCCTTAGCCGGGTTCCTGTTTGCTCTGCTCATCCGTCCTCAGCTTCCGCAGTCCCCGGGATCAGAGCCCCTACCTGCCGACTCCGCCTTTCCCCGGGCTCAGGCTGGGCTCCGGCTCCTGACAGCCCCTCCCCCACTCGGCCGGGCTGTAGTCCCCTCGGGTTGGGAGCCCCACCGTGCCCCTTTGTGTACAGGTGGGCTTGTGCATCCGTCAAACACGTGGCCGTCGCATTCTGGCAGACTTAAAAAGCTGTGCCACAAAAAAAAAAAAAAAAAGAAGAAAATGAAGTTTAAAGTTTCGGTGTATGTACAAGCTGGAATGCGGATCTTGCACTTGACATTTTTTCCTAGTGAATTTACATGTGTCAGGGTTTCAGAAGTGTGGTTTTTTTTCTTTTTTTTTTCTTTTTTTCTTTTTTTGCATCAAAAGCCACCCTCCCGTCTTTTTAGCGGTGTAAGGAAGGGTAGGAAGAAATACGTGTCTGTTCCCTGATGATCTCTGTCTTTTGGAAACTGCCCAGGCCTGACACCCTTTTCCTTGCTATTATTCCCCCCAGGAGTTTGCAGTCACCTGGTTAAGCCTTGACTTGTCCTCCTTACCCCCCTGCCCTTGAGACTTCTTAACCCCTCTTCCCTGAGGCATGCCAGAGTGTCCACTGATCTCTTCACTCAGCCCGGGGCTGTGAGGTGTATGTTGTCCAGCTTGGTGGTAATAGCTCTGACGACTGGGAAATGGGAGTTTGAGGGAAGTGGCTGAACTACTGGTTCAGCCTTTGCAAAAGGAAACCCGCTTCTCCTAAAATAGTTTTGACTGGATTTTGGATGTTTTGATGGCCCAGTTTCGCAACACCGGGTTGGGACTCTTGTTTGCCTGCCTGAATGCAACTGTAGATAGTTGGAACAGTGAAAAGCCGTCTCCGTTCTGGGTTTTCATTTGGGGATTTGAAAGTACAGAAATGGTTAGCACCAGACCCTAACATCCTGTTGGCCTTGAGGGCTCCTGACATCAAGGGTGAGTTAGCACGTCAAGTGCCTAGCCCAGTAGACTTACTAACAGCTCTCAGGTCTCCTCTGAAGGCTTTGCCCAACTCTGCAAGTCCTTAGAGAAAGCCACTGACAGAGCTTAGTGACCTTTGGGTTTTATCACTCTGAAGTTCTTCTGTTCTCTGAGTTATCTATTGAGCGCCTCCTAAAGACTCAGAACCCGCAGAGTTACGGTGGCTCTCAAGTTTGCCATCTCACACACGACCCGCTTGTCAAGCATGAAGCAACTGCACAAACAAGCATGGTCAGATAGTGTAGAGGGAGCTGGAGAAGATGCTGTGGGGATCATCAGACAAGGCAGCAGCATTCCTGTGATGTGCACTTTTGACTAGCTGGTCGGGTTGTTGTATGTGCTGGTTTGGCCTGATAATTCTCACTGGCCTTTTCTCCTGCTGCCCTGTGAATGTATGCATACTTTTGTGACGCCCACAAACTAAGCATGGCTTTAACCTTTTAAATGGTTGAAGTAGATGTTAACTCTTGTTACATGTGGTTATCAAATTTAGCTTCCATGTGCACCAATAGTTTCTTTTTGTAGTGTTGCTTATTCAATTCCTGTCCATAGGCCTTTGGGTTCCAGTGAGAGTTGGATAGTTAAGTCATACTGTATGGTTGAGTTATTTGTAACCTGGCCTTTTCCAGAAAAGTTTGTTGATCTGTTTTCTGATAGAGTTGGCAAACCACCCCTATATTACTTATTAGTCAGTATATGTTAAATGCTTTTAGTAATCTTCTATTCTTTGACAGCTTCATATATGTATATAATGTGTCTCTGAGCCATCTCGCTCTGCCTCTTCCCATTTCGTTCTTGAAGTTTCTAATTTTGATAATACAAGAGAATGTTTGGCAGGGGGGACTGGTTAAGAGTTCCCGCTGCTCACCCGAGGCCCTGGGCTTAATTACCAGCACCCACATGATGGCTCACAGTTGCATATAACTCCAGTCCTAGGCCATCTTCTGGCCTCTGCAGACGCTGTGTCCATCTGATACACCCATACACATTGTGGTGGTTTGAATAAGAATGGCTTCCATAGGCTCAAGTATTTGAATGCTTCATCACTAGGGAGGGGCGCTGTTTGAAAGGATTAAATAATTAGGAAGGGTGGTCTTGTTGGCAGAAGCGTGTCACTGGGGTGGCCCAGCGTTTCTCTGTCTGCTGCCCACACATCAGGATGTCGCACTCAGCCATTGCTCTGGTGCAGGGGTGCTGCCATGCTCCCACCGTGGAGGGAGCTGAGCCTCTGAGACGGTGAGCCAGCTCCTGGATAAACAATTGCTTTCATTAGAGCTGCCTTGGTCACGGTGTCTCTTTATAGCAATAGAACAGTGACTAAGACACATACATAAGAATAAAGGTTAAGCAAATTTTAAAAGAGAGTGTTTAGAGATTGAGAGATGGCTTAGTGGTTGAGAGCTCTTAACCAGGGGACTTGGGCTTAGTTCCCTAACAGAATTCATTTGGCATCTTATAATGCCTGTAACTATGATTCCAGGGGATCTGATGCCCTCCTCTGACCTCTCCCAACACTGTACAGTTGTGGTGCTTACATGTAGGCAAAACATCATACATAGAAAATAAAAATAAATCTTAAAAAATAAAAAGCAAGGGCTGGAGAGATGGCTCAGAGGTTAAGAGCATTGCCTGTTCTTCCAAAGGTCCTGAGTTCAATTCCCAGCAACCACATGGTGGCTCACAACCATCTGTAATGGGGTCTGATGCCCTCTTCTGGCCTTCAGGCACACAGACAGAATATTGTATACATAATAAATAAATATTTTAAAAAAATAAATAAAAAATAAAAAGCAAAAAGAGAATGTTTGGGGGAAATTCTCAGTGAATTACATCAGAGAAGAAAGAACACATTTGCTTCAAAGCCAGGGAATGAAATAGATGGTGATTTTGGAAGATGACGTAATAGCACTGGTCTCTCCTTTCCAGATTACTTGTGCAAACCTGAAGACAATGTCTACAGTATTGATTTTACCCGCTTCAAAATTCGAGATCTGGAGACAGGGACGGTGCTCTTTGAGATTGCCAAGCCTTGCATCTCAGGTAGGCAGGGGTATTGTGAGAGTTGCCCACCACCTGGGGAAGGAAGGGCTGTGTTTGTGTGCCAACACATGTGTTCTGGGACCCCACTGTCTCCTGATTCCATAACAGATCACTTCCTGTGGCCTCTCCTGCCTGTTGCAATAGTTTGGAACTTTGTTAAAAGGCTGTTTTTTTGTTGTTTTAATTTTTATTTATTTTTGGTATGTCTTTATAAGTGTGTGGCTACATGTGCCAGTGTGTATACATGGAGGTCAGAGAACAACTTTTGTCTGTCTTCACAATTATGTGGGCTCCAGGAGTTGGATTCAGGGTCCAGGTTTGTGTAGTAAGCTCCTTTACACCTGAGCTATCTGACTGGCCAGTTTTTGTTTGTGAGGACAGGTTCATATGTAGCCCAGGTTGGCCCAGAACTTGCTCTGTAGCTGAGGGTACCTTGAGCTCCTGACATGCACCCTCCCAGTGTGTACTAGGGTTACAGGCTCATGTCATCACAGCCAGCATAGGAAGCTGACATTTGTAGTGTGGTGGCACTGTCCAGTTTCTTCAGCACATTGCCTTGTCATGACACTCTGAGTGGCTCAACCACTTTTTACTGAGACCCAGAATTTACATGTGACACATCCCTAAGATCCTTGTTCAATGATTCACATTGCCTACAGCGGCAGAATCAATCCCTGCAGCCAGATGGCACTGAGGAGAGCCCCACTCCCGAGTCTTGCAGCCTACTCAGGAGCTCGCTTGCCTTTAATACTTTTGACTCCCTACCAAGTCCTAGCTTAGCAGTTTTTGAGTTTTTTTTGTTTTGTTTTGTTTTGTTTTGTTTTGTTTTTGAGACAGGGTTTCTCTGTATAACAGTCCTGGCTGTCCTGGAACTCGCTTTGTAGACCAGGCTGACCTCAAACTCACAGAGATCTACCTGCCTCTGCCTCCCAAGTGCTGGGATTAAAGGCGTACGCCACCACACCTGGCCTCTGGCTTAGCAGTTTTGTTTTGTTTTTCATTTTTCTTCTGAAGGTTTAAAAATCTTATATGTGTGTGTGTCCACCGGGGTTTGTGCGCATGAGCACAGTTCCCTCTGGAGGTCAGAAGAGGGTGTTGGAGCCCCTGGAACTGTAGCTACAGGCAGCTGTGAGCTGCAGACAGAGTTGCTGGGAGCTGAATGTGAGTGCTCTGCAAGAAAACTAACTGCTGAGCCACCTTTCCAGCCCCATGGTGTTTTTTGTTTGTTTGTGCTTTTGCTTTGTTTTGTTTTTTAAAATAAAAGATTATTCTTAAGTATACAACAGACTCCAAGACAGCATTCTTCTCTGGCTATGGGTAACAAAAGATGAGTCCAAGAACCCAGTGACCATACTCTCTGGTGCAAGAACCGCTTCTTCTTCTTCTTCTTTCTTCTTCTTTCTTCTTCTTCTTCTTCTTCTTCTTCTTCTTCTTCTTCTTCTTCTTCTTCTTCTTCTTCTTCTTTCTTCTTTCTTCTTTCTTCTTCTTTCTTCTTCCTTCTTCTTCTTCCTTCTTCTTCTTCTTCTTCTTCTTCCTCTTCCTCTTCCTCCTCCTCCTCCTCCTCCTCCTCTTCTTCTTTCCTCTTCCTCTTCTTCTTTCCTCTTCCTCCTCCTCCTCCTCCTTCTTCTGTATACAATATTCTGTCTGTGTGTATGTCTGCAGGCAGAAGAGAGCACCAGACCCCATTACAGATGACTCTGAGCCACCATGTGGTTGCTGGGAATTGAACTCAGGACCTTTGAGTTCAGGTTAAGGCAATGCTCTTAACCTCTGAGCCATTTCTCCAGCCCAAACCGCTTATTCTTTTACTTTTGCTCAGTTTGTTTTTATTGTTTGGTTTTGTTTTGAAACATAATCTCATGTAGCTAGAGCTAGCCTCAAATTCACTGTTTAAATGAAGACGGCCTTGAGCTGCCCTTCTGCACCTCTGCTTCTCAGTGCTGGGATCGTGGTGGAGGCTTCTGTTCTGGTTTAGTTTTTATTGTTATCGTGTGTGTGAGAATGGTGTGTGTGTGCGCACGCGTGCACGTGTGATGGGGCAGAAATAAATAGGTCAGAGGACAGTTATGAGAACTGATTCCCTCCTCCCACCATGTGGGTCACAGGGCTGGAATTCTGGTCTCCAAATACTTTACTGGCTGAGCAGACATCTCCTTGACCCCCCTACTGTGGTTTCTAATGAAACTTACTTTGCAAAGTTCTCATTTGATTTGCTACTCAGCATAAACCTGCAGCTCTGGGAAGATAGGTCTTGGGATCTCAGAGAAATCACGAAGACTCTCTCCCGAGCTGGGGCTGTCTCTCAGGAGCAGAGACTTGGTCAGCGGAAGGCCCCAGCTTGAGGTCTCCAGCACTGAGACAGACAGACAGACAGACTATTCTAACAAAGTCTTAGGTTGATTGCCGAGCCCTGGCTCAGCATTGCCTTGTGTTTCCACCGTCATAATCCAGTCCTGACTGAGGTACTGAAGCCTCCGAAAACCTGCAGCAGGTGTCCGGTCTCCAGCCTTCCCAGCTCTGCTTTTAAGGCACCTGCTTGACTCCATACACACTCACGCCACCCTTTTCTAGGCACTTAGAGAACTGGACCCGGAGTGGCCTAGAATAGACAGGCTGTAGGTTGGTGTCTTTATTGATGTCACAGTTACTTCCAGTGCCTGCCTTTCATAAGTGTTTGTATTGTTTGAAAGGTCATGGGACCTGTTAAGCCTCTGTGACCTTACTCTCCTGGTTAGTGTTAAGAGAAGACCTAGTCAGTATGATAGGTTGCAGCAGAGACTCTGTGTCCAGCTGGATTTCTGGCTTTACCCCAGGACATACCCACTCCTCAATAATGTAAACAAGTAGCATTGTTTAAGAGCAGGCTCACGGCCAGGTGGTGGTGGTCCACACATTTAATCCTAGCACTTAGGAGGCAGAGGCAGGGGGATCTCTGTGAGTTCAAGGCCAGCCTGCTCTACAAAGTGAATTCTAGGACAGGCTCCAAAGCTACACAGAGAAACCCTGTCTAGAAAGCTCTTCCCCACCCACCCCCCAAAGAAAGAACAGGCTCCAGGTGAACTGTACTCAGAACTTGCTACCTTTGTTAACTATTTGGAAACATTAGGCACCACCGCCTTTGGACTTGTTTCCTTGTCAGTGAAATGGAAACAAGTGGCTTCACTCTGCAGGGCCTCTGAGGCCTGGTGCGGTTGGTATGTGACCAGTGTGCAGCAGAAGGGCTGTGGTAGCTGGTGTGCGCCTGTCAGTCGGCAGTTGTGCCGTGTGTATGGTGGATGCTAAGGCAAGGCCCTGTGTTCTTTCAGACCAAGACCAGGATGCCGAGGAGGAGAGTGTCGACGTGGATATCAGTGTAGGGCGTTTCGTTCGCTATCAGTTCACACCAGCCTTTCTCCGCCTCCGGACAGTTGGTGCCACGTGAGTGCTATTATTTTTATGAGGGCAGAACATTGCTTGTTCTTGGGGAGGAATGTGCTCAGTGGGCTTGAGCTGGCTTCAGAGGAAGGAGGAAGCGAAGTCAGGCTAATAGCGATTTGTTTTACAGGGTAGAGTTTACAGTGGGGGACAGACCTGTGTCAAACTTCCGGATGATTGAACGGCACTACTTCCGGGAGCGTTTGCTGAAAAACTTTGACTTTGATTTTGGCTTCTGCATCCCCAGCAGTAGAAACACGTGCGAACACATCTATGAGTTCCCACAGCTCTCTGAGGACGTCAGTATGTATCTTTCAGTCTGTTTCAGTGCTGGAGATTCTGAGTCTGCAAGGAGAGCCTTGAGACCCAGCTGGTCCAGTGTCCTCCTTTGCAGGAGAGGAAAGTGGTGGCTTGGTGTCATCTGACCTCACTCTTGTGTTTCCTGCTCTGAGTGCTCCTGTGGGACTCAGGCCTCCCGGGCCCTGAGTAGATAGGACAGCCACTTGCCGCTCTCCTCACAGCCCCACTGTGTCCTGCTCACTTCCTCTGTGCCTTTCGGCGCTGATGCAGTATGACATTTTCCCTCAGAGTCTCCGTCCTTAAAGGCCGCATACTCTGGGGTGGCCACTCTGCTCGCACGGCAGCACTACCAGGCAAGAGTTTGCTGAGATGTGCTGTCGCTTGAGTTGGTCTGGAATATGCAGATACTTGCAAGGATAGATTAATCTGTGAAGCCAAATAGACCAAAGAGTTTGAGTGTCGGTCTGAATGTAAGCAAAATTGCTTTGGCCTGTATGAGCTCAGGGAACCTTTTAGACTGCGCTGCCTTTTCCTGGGGCACTGGAGATTGCTAAATCAGATCCGACAAGAGGCGACTATAATTGCATTTACCTTCCCCTGTGGAAGAGGTCAAAGTGAGAATTCAAGTGGACAGACAGAGGCTTTAGTTTTAGGCCTCTGTCTGGATCTCGTAGGTTCATAAATATCAGAGCCCTCTCCAGAGAGTGGCTTCCCCAGTATTCCGCTGAATGCATACCTTTGACTTTCAGGGGTCCCCAGAAGAAGTAGGAGGGCTTGAGAGATGAGTAAGATCTTTCAGAGGCCCAGTACCTACAAGGCAGCAGCTCACTAGTCTCTTTAACTCCAGTTCCAGGCATCTGATGCCCTCTTCTGGCCTCTGAAAGTATAGCACCGATGTGGTACAAACACATATATGAAGCCAAAACAACCACCTATACACATAAAATAAATACATTTTAAAAATTAAAAAAACAAAAAAAGAAAGAAGTAGTTTGGGCATGGTGATGTCTCCCTTTACCTCCAGCACTTGGGATGACAGAAGCAGGGTAGATCTCCGAGTTCAAGGCCAGATAAGCCTCACAGTGTGATCCTGTCTCCACAAACAAAAGAACTCAAGGAAGCTGGTAAGAGAGGCACGACCAGGGCTTTCTACTGGAACGTCTAGAGGTGGGCAGCAGGCCAAACACCAAGGGATACTGGCAGGAAGACTCAGACTCCGGATGCTGAAGAGTTGATGCATCCTGTATTGTAGTGGACCTCGGGTTCCATCTGGAGCCTCCTGTCTCCGTGGCTTCTTTTGTTTTACCTCATTATCTTCGCAGAACAGTCAAACTTTCCAAAGTGCTGGTTTATCAATTTTGGAGGGATGCTGAGTTTTTTTTATACCTTGTTGCGGGACACATTCACATTCTCTGCTTCTTCTTCCCTTCCCCCGACTTGCAGTTCGTCTGATGATCGAAAACCCATATGAGACCCGCTCGGACAGCTTCTACTTTGTCGACAACAAGCTGATAATGCACAACAAGGCTGACTATGCCTATAACGGCGGCCAGTAACGTCACAGGAGTGGACAGGGAAGGTGCTTTGCTGCCACCACGAGGCATATGGGGGAATTGCAGCTACTGCTTGTCAACACTCTGAACCTGGTCCTGGAAGCTGCAACAGGGGTGGTGGTTTGTGCTCCAAGGAAGTGCCGGCCAGCAGTTTCTTGTTTGTTTTCCCCTGCCCCCTAGTTTGCAGAGGTATTATAGTGAAGTAAAAGATTAGGATAAGGTTCCTGGGATCCAGATAAAAGTGTTTATTTCTGTGTAGTCTTCGCTATGCACTGGTTGTCCCGACAAGCCCGACTATCCAGGCACAGCTGTGTTAGTGAGAAGGCTTAGGCTGAGCCAACCTGCAGGTTCCCAGCCAGACTGCAGCTTCCTGGGTGCTATGGGCAGGTGAAAGCAGTTTGTTTGCTCCTCCCCACGGTATTGCATTGGAGCAGTCTGCCCTCAGCCTACACACAGGAAGACTTGATAGCGGTACTGGGTTGGAGGTGAAAGACAAGGTTTTGAGGATACTACTTAACTGCTTTGGGGGACCCACAGCCAGTCCTTGGGGAGACCATGGTGATGCCTGCCTTTTCTTACTCTGGAGGCCGGCCATTGAGCCTGCTCTGCTTCCCTGGCCATGACTTTTACTGCAGTAGACCACGTCAGTTTTGTTCACGGAGCACAGTGTCTCTTGAGTTCAGTGCAGGACGGTCGTGCTCTGGGCTCTTTGTTCTCAGACTTCTCTGGGGAGTCTTACACAGTGTCAGTGTGCTAGTACCTGAGATACGGGTAGAGCTCTGCTAACATGGATTGGCTCCCAGGCTAAGCTGGCTCCTGGTGGGAAAGGCATGGTTGCAGCGCGGCTGGTGCTTAGGAGTGTTTTTCTGCCTGCCTTTCTACTGAAGTTGTTCTGGAACCATCTGGCGGATGGTCTTGAGTAGTGCACATTCTGATGCCTGCTTCAGGCTGCTGGATGTCTGAGTATTGGAAAGGGCAGCGTGGGCTGGGGCTGCCTGCTGGAGCACTGTGTCCTTAGCTTCCTGCACCTGTCATGGGCGTAAGCTGACCTCAGATCCTTCCTGACTAACTCCCACCTCTTTGGCTCCCCAGCTTGGAGCTTCAGGACTCTGTGCTGTGGCTCAGGTCCATTTAGCGTTGGCGGAAGTGTCAGTAGTAAGGAGCAGATGTACAGAAGTGTCCCTGAGGTATGGCATCCATGTGATGAGAGCAGGCTCCCAGAGTGCTCTCTGAGAAGAAGGGCACACTTTGGCCAGTGTCTCTCTGTGTTTGGCTTCTAGAGCATTAGTAGCCTTAGATTTTGTCCTGTGTTCTACATCTGGCCAGCACGTAACAATGCCATATGCTGAAAGTTTTCAGAATGAGAAAGTCCTATTTACCCTTCATGCTGCACTGGGTTCACCCACTGAGACGGGAGAGCCCAGGTGCCCTCTGGGCGGGCACCTCTTACCATTCTCGAATCTCAGAGCTGGAGTCCTCCAGATCTAGGTGCCTTAGTGCGCTCTGCCCATGCACTGCAGGGGAGCTGCTGTCCATCTTTCTCTCCTACCCGCGTGCAGACATGAGCGGTCTCTGTACCTTTCCTTAGGTGGCCCCTCTGATGTTCTTACAAGGTTCCTCCTTGCTCTGTTACAGTCTGATGAGGAGAGATTTGGTTTCCAGTATTTAAGTAAATACTACCTAGGAGCAGCTTCCTGGAGCTGCATGGTGTTTGCTCAGTGGAGCCCAGTTTGGGCTGTTCCTGTATTCTGGCACACTGTTTCTTGCCTGTAGTTCTTGCTTTTGCTTGGAGGGCCCCAGAGGATGGAGGAGCTGGGCACACTGGCTTGAACAGGACTGCATCCCCTTCCAGTTAGTCCTGGTCACATTGAAGACCACGCTGAGGCCAGGGCTTGGTCGTTGTTGGCAGGATGAACTGGCCCTCCATTGCTGCTGAAGGCCAGTGGTCTGTGTCTGCCTTCTTAGGGAAGTGTCTTGCTGTTTTCAATGAGTTCAAAATTCTGCCTTTTGTATCTGACCTATGTAAACTGGAATTCATACTTTGAAAATAATGAGCGGAAGCCGAGTCAAGTCACGTTGTTCAGGAATACCAACCATCCATAGTGGCTTCCTGTGCTACAGCGGGAGAGAAACAGTGCTCCAGTGCGAGGACGCCATGTCCTGTGTCGAGAGCAGGAATCTGAGCAGAAGGCCGCTCCTAGGACGACCTCATCCCAGCAACCAGGCAGAACCCTTGCTTTCTGCTCTGAGGCCGGACATGCTTGTTCTCCGTCCCTGCCCTCTGCCTTGGGGCTGAGCTGCCCTCAATCTGCTTTTATTTTGTTCTCAACCATAAGCATAGGAGTAAAGATGGCCAGTACCCGAGGCTGAGATCAACTATTGTCTCCGGTTAGCTCTGCGTTGTCTTGCACAGACTTTCTGAAGCTTCTCCAGGCCTTGGGTATTTCCTGTTCCAAGGCCAGTGCTTTGCAGCTTCTGGGACTGACCATAGACTCAGATTCTGAAAATGTCCACATTCCATGTCCAGAGCATCATAGCCACAGGGGGTGGGGGGGAGAGGTGCCCCCCACTTTGTTTCACAGAGGGTCGTGTGATATCATCAAAGTTGTGAAAGTCTGTTCTCCCTGTAAATCTATTTCTCACAGAATGTGAGAAACACCTCTGTCCTTCTTCCCCTTCACCCAAGATCCTCATTCCAGAACAAACCAAGTGATTTATTTGTATAAGATGTTATTTTACCATAAGAGACAGTAATAAAGATTTTCACAATATGTCTGCTCTGTCTTGCCTCCTGATTGGGCCATAGTGGTGGTGGCTCCCAGTTTCTTTCTTCAGCTCTTGCATTTCTGTTGTCTTTAGTGTCCCCCCTTTCTAATTGAGGAACAAAATTAGGCTTCACCAGATTTTTCTGCTATGTATTTTACCCAGGGACTTTGAGCAGAACATTTACCTGATGGGATGAAAGGATGGAGGGATGGGGGTGGGGGCTGGAGGGATGGGGGTGGGGGCTGGAGGATGTGAGATGGAGGGATGGGGGTGGGGGCTGGAGGGATGGGGGATGGGGCTGGAGGATGGGGGCTGGAGGGCTGGAGGAAGGGGATGGAGGGATGGGTGCTGTCTGCTCTCCCAGAGGACCTGGTTTCTGTCTCTAGCACCACATTCACCATCACCCTTAACTCCTGTTCTGAGAACTTTGATGCTGCCTTCTAAGGGCACCAAGCACACATGTGGCACACATATACAGGGAAACATCCACACACACCCATACAAGTTTTTTTTTTTTTAAAGCCTAAGTTCGTGGTTTTTCTTCAGGTTTTGGTGGTACTGGGGATCAAACCTGGTGCTTTGTGCACACGGCACTGAGCTGGGTTCAGCCCTGAAGGTAGGGTTAGTAAAGTGTAAGTAGCAGTGAAATGACCTCATTTACAGAGTGCGCTTCTGAGCTCAATGTGGTGTTGACACGCCTTTACTCCAGCTCTGGGAGGGGGGGCAGAGGCAGGTGGATCTCAGGTCACCTGGGTTTACTATCGAGTTCCAGGCCAGCCAAGGCAACATAATCAGACACTGTCTGAAAAACAAAAGTCCAGTTTGGGGCTGGAGAGATGTGTTTACTGTTCTTACCGAGAAATCAGGCCTGGATTTGATTCCCTGTACCCACCTCAGGTGTCTTGCAACCACCTAGAACTCCACTTGCAGGGAATCTGACAGCCTCTGACCGCCACAAGTATTTGGATATACACAGTACACATGAATTCATGAAGACACACATAATATGCATTAATTAATCCTTTAAAAAGTAAGTACAAAGCCCAGAGGTGGTGGTGCATGCTTTTAATTCTAGCACTTGGGAGGCAGAGGCAGGCAGATCTCAGTGAGTTGGAGGCCAGCCTAGTCTACGGAGAGAGTTCAAGGACAGCCAGGGCTTCACAGAGAAATCTCAAAAATAAACAAAATAACAAGATGAGTGCACGTTAGAGCCAGGAATTGCAATTTAACACCAGCACCCAGTTAAAAGGCCGCCTGGGTGCATAGCAAGATTCTATCTTAGAAAATAATCGAATTCAAAAGTACAATTTGGTCTGGGTATATAGCTCAGTAATACAGTGCTTGACCTGGATTCAAGCCCCATGATGGAAGAAAAAAAGGAACCCAAACCAAAACCCCAGACATTTTGACACGTGCATACACAACCTTATTGTCCCCACCACAGCCACTGTGCAGATCATGACATCACCCGCTCCGAACATCCCTTGTCCTGGTCCTCCTGCCAATCTAAATCTGTCTCTCCTAAAAAATGTGTACACTTTTAACCAAAACATTTGCAGGAGTTGGAGAGAAGGCTCAACAGGAATGTGCGCTGCTCTTGCAAAGGACCCGAGTTCAGATGCTGACACTCACAGCCACCTATAACTCCAGCTCCAGGGAATCAGACTCCTCTAGTTTCCTAGGGCGCCTAAACTCGTGTGTGCAGACTCTACATAGACACACTTAATTAAAAATATGAATCTTAGCCCGGCAGTGGTGACGCATGTCTTTAATCCCAGCACTTGGGAGGCAGAGGCAGGCAGATCTTAGTGAGTTCAAGGCCAGCCTGGTCTGCAAAGAATTTCAGGACAGCCAGGGCTACACAGAAAAACCCTGTCTCAATAAACCAATATATCTTAGATCTATGTACAGTTACAACTTGAGCCTGAGGTTGGAGTACAGTTTAGTGTTAGAATAGCTAGGTGCCTCCACAGTAACAAAAGGAAATTTGTTTTAGATGTTTTCTGGCATAATTATTGGCCTCTATTGTAAAATGTGACTTTCTTTTTTCTGTTTTTTTTTTTTATGTTATCTGTGTGTGCACGTGCATACATTCTCCTGAGTGTGGGTGGAAGTCAGAAGAACAGAGAACAACTTCTGAAAGTCAGTTCTGGGGATTGAACTCAGATCATCATCAGACCTGATAGCAAGTGTCTTTACTCACTGAGCCGTCATGTAGGCCTATGATGAATTTGTTTCCTTCCTTTTATTATATTATTATAATATATATATATATATATTTGAGACAGGGTTTCCCTGTATAGCCCTGGCTGTCCTGGAACTAGCTTTTGTAGACCAGGCTGCCTCGAACTCACAGAGATCCTCCCGCCTCTGCCTCCCGAGTGCTGGGATTAAAGGCGTGCGCCACCACCACCTGGCTCCAGGCAGGTTTTCTTACCGAGCTAGGAGCTCACTCATTCCCCTACTGCTGCATTGCTGCACCCAGGTCTAATGGATTCCAAACCGAAGTCGCGTTTGAACGTAAAACGCTTTACAAACTGCACCCTCTCTCAGGCCCTAGTATTTCTCTCCTTTTGTCACCTGCTCTGTCTTCCACCAGGGCTTGTGGCCAGGCAGGGAAGATGACTGACTGGCCTCAGAGTATTGACTAGTAACAGTCATTTAACACATTATTTGAAAAACTTTTTCCTTTTTCCTTTTTAACGCAGCTCCAGACCTTGCAGGGGAGGGGGAGAAATGGGGAAATTTCTACTTCTTCTTCTCTGTTTTCTTCCTGAGAGTGTTTCCAGCCTGTCTTGGAACTCTCTCTGTAGATGAGGCTGGCCTCAAACTCACAGAGATCCGCCTGCCTCTGCTTCCCGAGTGCTGAGATTAAAGGCATGCGCCACCATGCCCGGCCCAGATGAGGACATTTCTAATCCAAACCACCACCTTTACCACAGTTTATTGTTTTCTAGGAAGTGGGTCAGTCCCACTTTTGGTGTTGGGTCAGTGCCAAGTACAGGTGTCTGGTTTCAGGGAGGAAGGCAGATGAACAGAATGCATGTGCATGGAAACCAGGAGGCTGTGAGCCGGAGTTAGACTCGGTGAAGGTGGGCCCTGTGGCCAAGTGACATTTGACAGGCTCTCCGGAACAGCGTAAAAGTATTCTGAGGATGCTAGGACTCAACCCTTGGTATTACGGGGCAGCGCCCCTACTCCCAACAGGGCCCTGCTCCCCAACTAGGAGGTGCTTAGGACAGTAGCTCTATTTCACATCTCAGGGTGGGAGGGCTCTTCCTGCCTGGCAACCCCATGCAGTGGACCTAATACTGAGCCCTCCAGCCCCCTTTGGAGACCACAGAACTACTGGGAAAAATAAAACGTAAAAAAATACCCAGGGGTAAAGTGCGGATGTAGCCAGCGTTGGTGGAGCACGTCTCTAATCCCAGTGGGGAGGAATACTAGCAGGACAGTCTTGGTGAGGTGGCCTTTATGAAGAGCGTCGAGGCCAAAGGAGAAAAGCTGCCTGCTTTATATGACTGGAACAAAGATGGTCAGGGAGCCGGGGTTTACACTGTCAGGATGCAGGGTGGGCAGGGGTAGGGACTAACTCTTTTCTTCTCTCCCTAATACTGAACCCAGTGCTCTAGACAAGAGCGCTACCATTGAGCTGTCGTCCCCAGCCCTCTTTTATACTTTATTTTTAAACCAGATACCACAAAGTTGCCCACCCTGGCCTTGAATTTACTTTGTAACATAAGGGAACTTGGAACTTGTAATTCTCATGCCTTAGCCTCAGGAGTCGTTAGAATTACAGGCTTGGACTGCGGGGTTTGTGTGTGTGTTCTTTGTACAGAACTGGATTTATCAGCTGGAGAGACGGCTCAGGGAGCAGAGCGCCCGACCGCTCCGCCCAAGGACCCGAGTTCGATTCCCGGCCCGGCTAGCGCCGCTCGGTGGCCTGCAGAACGACCCCCGCACCGTCCACCGAAAATCCGCACTAGAGTAGTAGGTAAAACAAAACAAAACAAAACAAAAAACTGGATTTAGTGAGTGGGTTCTCCACGCTCGATTGTTTCTTATTTATTTATTTATTTATTATTGAGACAGGTGTTCTCTGTATAACAGCCCTAGCTGTCCCGGAACTAGCTTCTTATTTTCTTACTATTTTGGTTTTTCGAAACAGGGTTTTCCTGTGTAACAACAGCCCTAGCTGCTGCCCTTGAACTGTAGACCAGGCTAGCCTCGAACTCAGATCCGCCTGTCTCTCTCTCTCTCTCTCTCTCTCTCTCTCTCTCTTTCTCTTCCGAGTGCTGGGATTAAAGGCATGCACCACCATAGCCCGGCTACTTTTATTTTATGTGCATTCGTATTTTGCCATGGGTGTCGGATCCCCTGGAACTGGAGTTACAGAGTTGTGAGCTGCCATGTGGGTGCTGGGAATTGAACCCAGGACCTCTGGTGCTCTTAACCACTGAGCCATCTCTGCAGCTCCTTGTTTTTATTTTTATGCCTTTGCTTTGTCAGTAGCCTTACTAAAGACGAGAGCTGGAAAATGAGCTGAGAGATTTTGCACTCTCTGGATTTGACCGAGCTAACTTTCCGGTGCCTCGTCCCTAGGGCGCAAGCGCATCTCCGGCCCCTCCCCCACAAACGATGGGCGTGGCCCAGCCTCCGTACCGGCCCCGCCCCTGTGGGTCAGTGGGCGTGGCCCTGGCCCTGCCCCTGCCCCTGCCCCTGCTGTCCGGAACAGTAGAGCTGCTCGCAAGAGGTCTGGGAGGTCCGAGTCCATGGCTGCCGCATTGCTCGCCCGGGCCGGTGGCCCACTCCGCCGAGGTGAGTGCGCGTCCGTGGAGCCCCAGGGTCGGTCGTACGGCGGGAATGCTGACGGCGGGTCCTGCTGCGGCCGCGGGCCGACGAGTGGGCAGCATCTCCCTGCTGCTCGCGGCCTTTGCCCTAGTTCGGTGGCCTCTTGCGCGCGCAGGGCCCAGGCTCTGCAGGGACCCCGGCTCCTGCTCGGCTC